CAGAAATGAAAGATTTTTTTTAACCAGAAAAAATCAAAGCTCAATGAAGTTCTTATAATGCAATGAAAGGTGTACTTGGAGGAGGAGGCGGAAATTATCACATATTTACATACATACATATGTTTGTATAGAAATATCAACTCAGAAATATGAATACATCAAAGTACTCTTCAACATGAAAAAAAGCGCACATGTTGGTGTCTAGCACGCGTATTGCATCGAAAAGTATCTACTCTTGTGGTTTATGCCTAACTAATAGACCAAAAAAGCAATTGTAGGCCAGGCAGTAGGGCAAATGCATTGCACTTTTACTATGCAACAAACCCAGAAGAAGCATATTTGTATGTAGGAAGAGCAATTCCTGTTATTTATGTCTCTGAACACACGCGTAAAAGAAGGCTGACTTCCAAAACGTCAATTGCTTTGCATACGTACAAAGTATAATGTTCCATAACGCCGAACTACAAAATATTAACAATGTATATTTTTCCGACACGCATCCGAAAAGTTATCGAAATGCATCGCTAGAGCAATCAGCGCATCAGAAATAAAGTTGATGCTTCGTTTGTTATTGGCAGGGAACGGATTTTTAGGTCCTAAAAACCTATAAAAAAGGCAAAATAAAATAACGAAATAGGATGGAAAAGGCAAAATAAAATAGCGAAAAAGGCAGGAAAAGGCACTAGGTATTGCAAAAAAGGCAAAAAAAGGCAAAATAAAATAGCGAAAAAGGCAGGAAAAGGCACTAGGTATTGCAAGAAAAGGCACTAAAAAAGTAATCATTCGATTTTCGCGAAGAAAAGCCTTGAATGTACTAAATGTGCGCTCGACGTAAGTTAATACAAATGGAAATGGAACATTTGAAACGTTCATATTATCAGGAATCAGGGCGTTTTCCTCGCCCTTTACAATTTTATCCACGCCCCTTATTGTCGACAAGCCTACGTTAGCTGAGAAAACGGCTTTCATTTTTTCCAACACCAATTTGGCAAGGGGTCCCTGCGCTTCTATAAGCCGCATTTAATCTTTAAAAAAAATTGTAAATGCTATAAGCACTTTTTTAAAGGTAGAAAAGGCAAATATCTTAAAAAAGGCAAAAAAAGGCAACATCAAATGTGTATATATGGAATCAGGGAAAGCTAAATCGTGGACATTGTGAATCGAATATACTCTATCTCTTTAGCAGAAAAAATACAATTTCCATAAAATCCGTTCCCTGGTTATTGGTTACCATTGGTGTTTCAAAAATGGAAAATTCAGAAAAATTGTTCATTGCTAAATTGAATATTTAAAATATGCAATGTAGGGCTGTGCGCTTATTCGATTACTCGAGCAAGTTGGTTAATCAATTATTCGGTTAATCAATTACTCGAGTAATTAAGATTTTGATTACTCAAAACTATGATTAATCGAGTTACTTGAAATATGATTACTCAAAAAGAATAATTTTGTTCGTTAAAAGAGTTTGCTGTGGAAAATGCTTATTTTCTTTTTTACATTCTGTATATGAAAAAAAATTTTCGTTTTAATTTTTGAAAACAGAAACGTTGTTTTCAAAGTATCAAGGAACTTTAACTACTTATACATATGTAAAGAGTTGAAATGTTGATTACTCATTTTACTCGAAATGTTGATTAATCATAAAGCAAATTACTCAAATATTTTTTTTTTGGTTAATCAAAAATTTTGATTACTCGAATAACTGAACTTTTGAGTATTCATAATTTCTAATTAATCGAATAACTGAATTATTTACTTTATGATTAATTAAAATTTTGAGTAATCAATTAATCGCACAGCCCTAATGCAATGTATATGGCTGCAATGTGTCGCAACTCTGCATATATAAACAGTTTGAATACCGCAGTATAACAGTTTTCTAACATTGTATTGATACGTTTTGGAAGTCAGCCGAAATTGGATATGACGTGCAACTCAATGGAAATTATTTATTAATAAACATTTTTTGGTCGTCAAAAATTAGTAAGTACATAGATATGTACATACATATAGACATACAACAGGTTTTATTTTGCGTCATCCCTTGTCCAATTTGGTTTAGAGGTTAACCGGTTGCGGCATAGTGCCTTCTGCAGTGTAATTTTTCGTTTTTTCGTTGGTTACTTTAAGCTCTTATCTATCTTCTGTATAATAACAATAATTGATTGCCGGTTAGTTGGTGTTCGCTTATTCGCCTTTTTTCAAAACTGGTTTTCGAGTTATTCGAAAATTTACAATTTGAAAAAAACCGGTTCCCGATTTTGAAATTAGAAAAAAAAACTTTTTTTAATACTTTATTGCATTTTTTCTGACTTTTTCGGATGGGAATAGTGCTCTTGCCGCCGTAGCCGAGTGCTTAGATGTGCCTACTGCGACTCGGGAGGTGTATGGTTCAATTTCTGGTCTCAGCAACATCAAAAAAAGCTTTTTGAAATAGCGGTCGCCCTTTGACACACAATGGCAAATCTCGTAGTGTACTTCTGCCATAAAAAAGCTCGGCCAAGCAAGTAGAAAACGTTTAAGCGCCAAACATTTATTTATTGGAATCAAATATGATATACTTTTCAGCCCCAAATAACCTATGATATAATTTTAAAACGATTTGGGGGTTTTCCCTAAACCGGAAAAAGCCTTGAAAGTTTCGAAAAACTCAAAACTTTGATTCAGAGGTCAAGATTTGCGGTTTGTTCGATAAAAGAGATCCTGTTTATGCAATATTCGAAAAATCAAGATTAAAAAAAAATGTCGAAGCCGATCCCCTTAAATTTTCGTGGTCATTTATGTAGTAGGGAAAATAGTGAGGTTTAAGAAATAAGCAAGATGGGATAGAAACACGATAACTTATCATAATAATTATGAGCGCGAAAAAATTGTTTAAGTCTTAAAAGACGGGACTTGGTCAGGGGCATTTCAGGATTAGCTGGGGGCCAGTTCGGGACTAGCTGGGGAGAAGTTTAGGACCAGTTCGGGACTAGCTGGGGAGAAGTTTAGGACCAGTTCGGGACTATATACAAATTTTTTTCCCACTCATAATTATTATCAAAAAACTTTTATAATACATATAAGCCTCAAAATAAAAGTTCCTGAAGACTTAAAAATACTTATCTCGCTGATAATTATTATGAAAAGATTTCTATTATATAAGTCTTAAAATAATAGTTATCGATGACTTAAAAAAAATTCTCATACATAATTATTATCAAAAGACTTATAATTCTTACGAAAATTTTGATGACTTTTTTAAAACTCCACCATGAAGTAATTATTATCCTTGGGAGAGAGCTTACAAATATAGAAACTAAATAATTTTGGAACCCTTTGAATCTGGTTACTTTATCGCGAAATATGAGTCACTTTATAACGATAATAAAATTTTAAAAAGCTGACTACTTAAAATACATATTTAATTTATGAATTAGAAAAGATTATTTTGTGGAACTTTGACATGCAACTTATACAACAAATCAGCGATTAAATATTACATATGTACTTAATTTTAAAGAAATTGTTCATTGGTTACTCGCATGCACATACTATGTACATATGTACATATGTATGTACATTAGACCGTACCTCAAAAGCAAACAAAAAAGTTCGCCACACACCCGTGTGTCTCACCGACTTCAAAAAAGGAGGAAGGATTGATATTCATCGGAATATTTTTTTATGTATATATATTACCGGATAACTTTGGACCACGTGGACCGTTTTCGATTATTATTTTCTTATAGGAAAGTTTATAGCTCAAGGGTGATGCCATCCTAATTGGATTTAGTTTCGATCTTTGTGTCATGAAGAAAAGTTAACGGTACTTTAACTTTTTAACCGACGTCAAAAAAAGGAGGAGGTTATTAATTCGTCGAAATTTTTTTTGTATGTATGTTACCGCGTAACTCTAGACCACGCAAACCGATTTCAATAATTCTTTTTTTTTATCGGAAAGGTTGTACCTCAAGGGTGCTCCCATACTAATTTGGCTTAGACATTCGATTATTGGATTATGAAGAAATTAACGGTACTCTTGATGTCGGTTGTGTTTTTTTATCTTAAAAATAGAAATAACTTGTTCAACAATTTGGAACGAAATATTTTTGGCTGAACCTAGAGTCATTATTACATTTTTCAGCGCCACTTAAAGCATAAACAGGCGGCAGCGTTGATCCGGATCAACTCGGGAATTAACTGCAGTTGATCCGGATTAAGTCCGACTTAGTCCGGATCAACGCTGCCGTCTGTTTAAGCTTTTACAGTCGGAAATAATTTTTTTTTAACACCCTCATTGCGAGAGTGGTGTCGTATGCAAGTCGTTTTTCGAGAGTGGAATCGTATCGCAAATTGCACGTCATTGCCTAAAATTTCCATTCGACTAGTGTATTAAAACGGAAAAACTTGGCAGCACTGTATAGTTTTCGACGATTCTCGTCATTTACTTATTTCAGCACGACAGTAAACAATGCCAATGTTGTCGAGTCGTACAATTTAGCCTAATTTACGAGTTACGCAATGAGGCTGTAAAGTTCAATTGGAAAAATCGAGATACTTTGGTGAGCTTTAATTTACTGGCATTTGGGGTTGTACGTTGAAACTGAGATCTGGTGGGTAAGTACTACATAGAACGGGATCAATATATCATACTTTAAGATACGAATGTAAATGCCGAAGATATGACGAAAAATGTAAAAAGGAGACTCCTAGGTTTAGCCAACAAAACAAAAAAATGTTTTCGAAATTGCCTTGTAAAGAAGTTTTTATACTTAGGGGTGTACGGCGAACTTTTATTTTCCGGTACGGTCTAATCTGACCAGGTACTACATACATACATATGTAGAAAAAACGGGATTTTTTTTATCACTTTCCTCCAATTTTTATTGCATCGCAAAACTAGTGGAAACGCATGCATTTTATTGATGTTAAAAATTCTGCGGAAATAGTCATAAACAAGTTAGTACATAAAAAAATTTATAGTTAGTTGGCAAAGAATGCATAAGAAGTGTGCTTACCAAAAAGCCCCAAAGGAGTACCGTTTTTGTGGCGTTGAATGGCTGGTGTTATTCAGCGATGTGCTACGGAATATGCCCGACATTTTTGGTATTTCTGTTTTATTGTTTTTAACGTTGTTGCTTCTTTTTTGGTTATTTTATTTGGTGTTAAGTTATAATTTTGGGTTTCTTCTTTGGTATCGTTACTTTTACAGTTGTCGCTAGTAAGGTTTTTATTACTATTTGGCACTTAAAATTCGTGTTGGCACTACTGCACGTTTGTTGGTTGTAAAAGGTGTTGTAGTTGTTATGTTTTTTTTATTATTATTTATTTTTGTTTATGTTAATGCGTCCAATATTTTCGATTTAGACTTTATCAGTGTTTTATTTATTTTTATTTTTCAGAAATTGTTCGGTGCAAGTTTGATAAATTTGAAGGGGTAGTCATAACCACGTTATCGATGCCAGTTTCTGATGAAGCGCACGCTTATCAGGCGCTATGCAAACAAACAATAACGTCGGCTGCTTCTGACAGAACCCTTTTCAGTATTTCACGGTATTTTGTATTAATAAGCTTGGTGCGTATGAAATATTTTCTTTTAGTGGTTTCCTTCGGTTTGTAGATGACTCGTTGCAACTCATAAATATAAACTCAAATACACAAACAAGCAACTTTGCAACATTTTTTTTTTTTTTACCTTTTTACACATCAAAAGCGGCTCAAGGGGCAGAAATTACAAAACAGAGACAGTCAAAAAAAGAACGTTCAAAGAAAATCTTCTTCCACAACGAATGAGGCCGCCAAAAGTTCCGAAATTTGAATTGCCGCCAAAACTTCTTTTGCCCTTCTCTTTTTTAAGAAACAAAAATCCAACTTTTTTGTTGTATGCTTATGTATGTATGTAGTTTTTTATCAGTCTTTTTTTCTTCTGCTGCACTTTCACGTTTTTAGTTCTAAAATAACTAAAGTAGCGCCAGCGCGTCAACCCAGCAGCGACGCGACCGACCAGCAGCAGTCGCCTATCTATGCCTCTCAGCGACACAGGCGCGCTCCTCAAGCGATGATGAGTCACTCGCAGCTCGATCCCGCCTAGCTGCAAATCCGTGCGAAATTGCCTGCTGTTGCATGCATCAACAATATTTTCATAGTCTTTCTTTTTAATGTTTTTAAATGTGCGTGTGTGTGAATTTATTTATTTTTGGTCACGATTTCGTTGTACTGCTGCTGCTGAGAGATTCACCTGTGTTGGAAATTGGGACAAGGGTTGAAGAGAGAGAGTTGTGCGGTTGTTAATGGATATAATAAAAAACAAAATGGGAAAATGCAACGTAAACTGTATAAAAATACGCTTGCGAACATTTTTGGGCAGAGGGAATTAAGATCGAAATGGTCCATATAACACAGTGCGCTTTTTGCGGTCAGAGAGGCACCTGGTCAACGCATAAAAAAAAATGTAAAAACAAAACGAAATATAATCGCACAAAAGTCATTAATATTTTACTATGATTGCGGGCAGAAAAATATACATACATAATTAACTCCCACGTTATCGTGTTGAGTTTGGACATATAAGAGTTTAGATAGAAAGACATAAGATCAATGGTAATAGTAAGATTGATTACACAGGAGCACAAAAAAGAATGGATGAATGATTCTCTGACCAGACCAGTAGCTCGTTTCTGTTTATCTTCTCTACCGATTATTTCTCTACTGGTAGAGAATATACGTCATTCTCTACTACTCATTAGATGTAGAGAACAGGACGGCGAATACATATCTCAATTCGCCTTGGTAGAGAATTGTTACAGAAACGAGCTACAGGAGTTCCATATCGACGGCCGAGTGGAAGATCGACCTATCTCGGCAGCCAATTCGAAAACGGCCTACCTCAGAAAACTTTTCAACAACACCCTACTTCAGAATTCAGTTGAAAACCCTCCTACGTCAGAATTTGACTGAAGAACGGCCTATTTCAGAATTCGATTCAAAAACGCTATATCCAGTGCACGGACTTCGAAAAAATGTATGCTTGTAGATATTACATACTAAGGGCCGTTTTCTCATCTAACCTTTAGTTTACCGGCCACTTTATCGTCTCGATATACGAGTTTTCGTTTTCTCATCAGAGCATTAATTTCTCGAATCGATAAACTGTTGCTCACCCGATGCAACCTTTAAAACTTGTACCCAACTTTAAATTTTGGTTCGGTTTTGGTTCATGAGCCAGATATATTAGATATTTCAACCAAGGTTTTGGTTTTTGCTAACAGTTGCTCCTGCTCTATATTTGCTTATGTTGCATTGCCAACCTTTGAAATTTTATGACGAATGTAGTGAAGTTTCACTCTCGGAAATGTAGTGACGTTTCACTCTACGGAATAACAAATTTATTTTTACCGGCAAGGTAAGAAAACGAAAACACTTTAAATTGAGGAACAATTTATCTGCCCTGTTAGTAAAGGCAACTTTACTGCTTACATTAGAAAACGGCCCTTAGGGCCTTTTCTGCCTTTACTAACAGGGCAGATAAATTGTTCCTCACTTTAAAGTGTTTTCGTTTTCTTATCTTACCTGTAAAAATAAATTTGTTATTCCGTAGAGTGAAACTTGACTACATTTCCGAGAGTGAAACTTCACTACATTCGTCATAAAATTCCAAAGGTTGGCAATGCAACATAAGCAAATATAGAGCAAGAGCAACTGTTAGCAAAAACCAAAACCTTGGTTGAAATATCTAATATATCTGATTCATAAACCAAAACCAAACCAAAATTTAAAGTTGGGTACAAATTTTGAAGGTTGCAACGGATAAGCAACAATTTATCGATTCGAGAAATTAATGCGCTGATGAGAAAACGAAAATTCGTATATCGAGACGATAAAGTGGCCGGTAATCTAAATCTTAGATGAGAAAACGGCCCTAAAAATAGTAGCAGTAGGTAGGTTTTTTAAAACAAGCATTAATATATAGTTTCTACTCGTATAGGATAAATCTAGGCAAATTCATGTAAGGTGGTGTTACCAGAGCAGCTGGAATTTTCGCGTCAGTGGTTCTCCCAATACATTTTACACTGAAATAGGGAGCTCGCTACCAAATGCTCTCAAAAAGAAATTTCGAATCGATTCGATCATGGATGCCGTGATTCGGGCCCTGGATTAATTGAATAGTAGGCTTAAACAATTACTCTCCACTACAAAATTTTTTTATTAAAAGTATATTTGAAATAGGAATTCTTTTTTGCTAGCTGCGTTAACTTTACTCGACCCGAGGATCAAACAAATTCATTTCAAAGATCCGGTAGCTTCTGCTTCAATAATAAAGTTATTGCGAATTTAAATAATGTGCGCAGCTGATCTTATGGAAACGGGTAGCGAGTCGTCACCAGAATCAGTAGAAAATCATAATCTCTCGTACAGAAACGAAGGCGAAAAGATGATGATTTGGGCCACCAAGATGCAATGAGTTTTTACTTAAATTGTCATGTCCTAGAACTAAAGGGGTCATGACATGATATGTCCGTTGAATATCTTCCACCGAACCGTGACATAAGTTCCTTGGAAGTTATGTCGTAAAATTACTATCATCGATCGATTTTTGGTCCATGGAAGTAAAGTCTGACATTATTTCCACAGATCGGATTCATGAAAGTTATATCAGACATAAGTTCCCTGATAATTGCATATTAAATGAGTCGCTCATTGGCACAAATTGGTGAACTCCACCTTTTAAAAATCTTAAAATTTAATGTCAAAGCTGGGAAAAATAGGTATTTTTGCTTAAGCCTTTTAGAAGAAAAAGTCAGCGTTCCGAAATCCAAGAAGATCTTCGTGTTTACCACTTCTTCCACGAGATAAAATAATGGATGGATATTCGATTTTAGAAGCACAAGCGATGACTTTCAATTGTTTTACATTATTGCAGCCAATTTTCGAATGTTTTTGAAGCTGTTGGTTAAAACCATTGAGTGGATCCCTTATGAGACTTCCACGGGCCCATGGAAGTTATGTCAGTGACCCGAACTAAAGCGGAATATCATCGACGCTTGGGAGGAAATGAAAACTGTTTACCCAAAACTTTCGTAAAAATACTGTCATTTAGTTGGCACCTCGGTGCCTGCTGAGCACCTTTTTTTTCAAAACCTACAACCACCGAGAAACACAAGCGCTTAACAACAAAACGGTTATCAAAGCTTTTGTCTTCGCAAACATGGTTAAATAATAAATAATTATCGCCGCTAAAAATTATCGTTTTATTTTATGTAAGGCTAATTAACAAGATAATTATAATTTTTTTATGTGAAAATCACTGTAAAAAAGTGCCTTTAAAAGTTCGATTAATCGATTATTTCTCAATAATTGCAATTAATTGCTTTTGCTTGTGATTAATCATATGATCGATTAATCGATTATTTTATATTTTTTGCCATCCCTAGTCAAAGTTATCTTTTCATTTCTATTCTAGGTGTGTTCGATGACAAAATATGTATACACCGCGTTCTTTTCTCACTTTCCTGAAAATATTGGTAGATTTTTAACCTTGGTTGGTAAAAAATGGTAAAAATTTAAATATAGCAAAAGAGTGGGTAGATCTGCCACTAAAGTGGTAAAAGTCTGTGCACTGGCCCTTTCTCAGCAGCGGATTCAAAAACGCCTTATCTCAACATATTTTCGTCGGAGAACATTTCTTGGCAAAGGAGGAATGTTCTGTTCTGTGCGAGGAGGACGGTTGGCAAGCCTAAGACCTGGATTTATACTTTCTATTGATTATGTTGCAATAACTTTATTTTGATCTTTGTGCAGCACCCTTTATAGGCGAGATCTCTAAATATTGTTTTGTCTTAGGAAATATACTGACACCATTTGAAAACACTATTTTACATCACAATTATGTACAATTTGTGCAACTAACTAAAAAATTTTGACAAACTACTGCAGCATGCGTGAGCAAATAAACTGTAGTGCTTTCGTCTAAAAATGACAGCCACCAAAATCCAAATAATGGGCACTTACATTTTAGCTGAGGCTGTTTTGACGCTGTGCGCTGGTCGGCTGACAAGCTCGTCCGCGACGTCTGGGGCACCAACAAACACCACTTAATTCTCGAATAAATGCAATGTATGTACTTATGTGCTTGCCAAACAAACTTATGTAGGCTATATAGCTTGCAAGCATATATTTTTATGTACACATTTGTTAAGACAAGTCAAAAAAACGCACAAACTTTTTGAGCACAAATTTTATATTTAGAAATTAGCAAACTTATGTTTATGCATGAATTTGTGCTGAAAAAAATCTAAATATTGCCACACGTCCGAGCAAATGAATGCAAAAGTGTGAAAATTAATGCAACTCAATTGTGAAAAGCAAAGCAAAATAAATGTCGGCCAGTTAGCTAATTGGAATCGCTTTGTTTTGGCAACTCGTCCATAGCCATGGTTACGACTACAAAGGGCTAAAAAGTAGATGCACGTAGGCCAAAATGTTCATTGATGGCAAATTGATTCTGACATAAATAAGTACATATGTATGTATGTACGTGGTGTTAACAAAATTATTGAGCGCATGCAACAAGTTGACGAAAAGCAGGCTGCTGCAACCAAAACACGCAGTGGAGGCAGCCGCCAAAAGTAAGCGGATTAATGCAGGTATGCATTCGAGGCTGTCAGTGGGCAATTTGCTGGCTGCGAAAAATGCATACTTCTACATTACAATTTCACCTGAGTAACTTTATTCGATACTGCACACCCAGGTGTAATATTCACTTTCCATACGAATTTAGTATGATACTCTGTTTTTGTTCTTTGCCAATCGATGTTGCACCCTGAGGTGTTAGATTTGGTTGAAAACATCAGTAAAAAACATCGAAAACAGCTACACCTGCTGCTTACTCTCAATTGCAGCACTTTGACACGGGTGTTAATTGGCACAGCGCAGCCAATTTAGAGTTGATAGGCCAGGCATGAGGCAGACAGCCAGCCAGCCCAGTGGAGGTGAAAATTACAAGATAATACGAACGCAAAGCGGGCGCTTACGATAATTTGTGAGGAAGAATGTGGCAGAATATCGTTCAAATGATTTTGCGGTAAAAATGAGGAAAGATAAAAAACACTTTAGAGCTCCAAGTGGCTGAAGGTGTTAACTGTTATTAGGTGTAAAAATATTGATTAGGCGCCTGAAACTAGTAGAAAAACAAAAAAAAACAGAGTTTCATAATAATTTCAATGCTATGTTAAGTAGGAC